TGACTGGCAGCTAAAAGGGCAATTGGTCAATGAGGGGGAACCCATGTGAGCAATGGGTGGTGGAGGAAGACGCAATTAACACCAGTAATCACCTCTAAAAGGTGGTAAGAACTGAAATGGACTGGCTTTTCCTACCAGACAGTGTTGTGGAGTCAAAGGGAGGCTACTCTGGCACATGAGTAACAGCGCACCATGATAATGGACTCTGCCACTACAGCTAAGCGTATGGAAAATTTATCACAGTTCCAGAAATTCTTGAAAAATTCTTCGTTCAAAAGCAGAGTACAATGCAGATGTGAATCATGCTTCTCAGGTACAACAGGCTTCATATTGCACATCTTTCATATCTCTGTCACTGTTCCCTCCACCCCAGATCAAGGGACGGTAGTCTCAAACCTGCTACCTTTTGGGAGTGGCTCTCAAGTTGCTGAACCTCATCCACACCTTTACTTCCCTGGTTTGTATCACTTCCTCCCTGACATCAGATCTTCATCACTGCTACTCCACTCATGCAAGAGCCAGCATCTCTTGCCATGTCTTACCTGCCTCACTACTGACTACAAAAGCAATGTAGACTTTGGTCACCTTCAGACTCTCAGTGTTTTGCAGGAGAGATTTAAGTACATACTGTACTAGAAATTTAGGTTTGTGCAATAAAAGTGAACTAAAGCACTCAACAGCAGTTGGTGAGGAGGGCACAGCACTGACCCCCCCCCACCATGGTCCTATCACCCTCCTCCCTACTGGTAAGCAGTATTGGTTCTGCTATGCCACCCACCCACCCACCCACCCAAATTACTCCTGAAAGTGCGCTTTTTTAAAAGGAATTTTTGTGGTTCGGGAAGCAATGGGAAAAGGCACTGAAAAAGGATGGATAAATGAATTGTCAACACTGCACAAGCAAACCATTATGAATCCTCAATGTTGTATAACCTCCCTGCAAACAAATAATGAATGCTCAATAAAGACTGGGAATAGTCTAATCTCCATGTAGGCTTTACGCTGACAAATCCGAGTGAATTTTCACTGAACAGGTCATAGTGAAGTAGCCCCCATTCAGAACCAATGTCTATTTTTTTCCTAATTGATGCCCTGAATTTGCAAAACAGCAGGCAAACTCCATACAATCTTTATCATCAGGCAGCCACCTTCACTGTACTCTTTTTGGTGCCTGCTAAAAACACTTTTGTTCAGACAAGCCTACCATGTAGAATGTTTACACGTGTGTTAACCCCTTTTAAGCTTATCACCGATTATAATTTTAAAGTTTTAAATAGCTGCTTTTAACTGTATTTTATAATTATTTATTTCTTTTTGGAAACTGCTTCAAGGTTTTTTACAATCAAATTTTATGACATAAATAAAATAAATCACTATATCCCCAGTAAAGCTGTAGTAATTTTGGTATCAGTACAGTACTCTGATGTGGCACTGATATAAATATGTACATTTAAACAGACTATCAAATAATTTCTAAACAAAACTGACAGTGGAGTTCTTGTTTTCAAATACATGAAATTTGTCACTGTCACTGATAAAAAACTTCTTAAAATACATTTTTAAAAATGGAAAGGGGCAATGAAGTCAACTACATGTTTAAAGAAGAGACGGACAAATCACAACAACAAACTGCTAGACAGGTCTCTGAAAGCACCAATCCTCACCCAAGTGTGTCAGATGTCCTTGCCATAAGGACCATTTTAAAGCTGTATTTTCCTATACACATTGACTATGAAGTTGGTTAAATGTTAGCTCAAGAGCCACACAGAGCAAAGCTTCTGGAACCTTCCCTACAATTCATGCATCTTGTACTCACATACAACTTTCTTATATATGGAACACACGTCTCCAGCTATTTTTAAGTCAACCTTTATAAGTAATTAAAAAATTAAAAAAAACATATTTCAAAAGTATTCCTTGATCTCAGGCCTAACCCTGTAACCTGAGCACAGAGGATGGCTGGGTATTGGTCATTCCAATGCACAAGAAACTAAATCAATGTTTCCCAAACTTGGGTGTCCAGCAATTTTTTTCAGACTACAATTCCCATCATCCCAGACTACTGGCCCTGCTAGCTATGGATGATGGGAGTTGTAGTCCAAAAATTGCTGGAGACCCAAGTTTGGGAAACCCTGAATGAAACTTTCCATTGTTATAAGCCGCCTTTCCATATAATGGAATGTAGTTGCTACATGGCTAATTTCCAAATCATTACCTTGGTAAGGAAGAGGAACCACTGAAAAGATTATGAAAGAGCTTTAGCACCTGGAACACCTTGTGAAGCACTCTGAAAATGCATGACGTCACAAACAGCTGTGTCACAAACAGCCCTGAACATTTCACTTATTTATTCTCTATATAAACACTGTATCACAACAGATAATCATCGGCTTTGCCTCTTACATATTTAAATGACGGCAGCCATATATCATGTGATGATTAGAAACTATTTACTCTCAACTACGTGCTTCTTCACACTAGCGTATAACATATCATTAGTCTGCTCATGACATTTCCCCAAAGCATCTTAAACACTTCATGGGCTGCGTCAATCAGACAGTCAACTCTCACAGGGACAAAGAGCCCACAACTCCCAAACAAGTAATTGTCTGATATATGATCTATATGTGATGTGCTGCAAGCACAGCCCCAATTCAGCAAGAGGCACTGCTCTTGCAACCTTGTCTAACCCTCACAGCATTCTCGGCAGGCACAGGAAAGGGATTCATCATGCACAGAATGATAGGCACAAATCAGCCTTTATACACCGTATAATTCACAAAATCTTCACGATATCTTCAAATTCCATTTAATTCACTATTCCAGGCAAAAAGGTCCAATATACAGTTTGGTCAGCTCTGGGCCTAGCCCTGATAATTGAGAAAGTATATGTAAATAATTTCACCTGGAAATAGTAGAGTCAAGGGAAACCACTGCAATGTAATTAGCTAAACAATTAAAAAACACAGCATGGTTTTTTTCCTGCATAAAATGGAGAAATAGTTAATAATTCTTTCCCTTCTTTCTTTTTTGATTAGGTACATAAAACCAAAATAAATAGGCAAGCTGGGAGGTTCCCATCTGTTGGGTGGGGATTGTTGACATGATTTGATATTCTCAATGATGACAGGGGTGTGCAGAGGAAGAGATCATTTATAGGGGCCTCTTGCTTGGCTAGTACCTTTTGAGAGCTTCATTTACAATTTCACAAGTTGAAGAAACCATAAACACCACACACCTTATAACAATCTGCTCCAACACAGAAATGTCATAATAAAAACATAACTTTAAAATAAACAACATATATGAAATAGAGTAATATTCAATCATCCATTAGAATGCAATAGTACACAATAAAAATTATCAGCAAATAATAATGAAACGGAAATTCGCTCTTAATACAATAAATAATTTCTAAACTATAACCAATAAAAAATAACAGCAAGTCACCATGCATAACACAATTCAAATTGAGCAGCACAACTTATACACACAACTTATAAAATTATTATTTTTAAAAATTTTCCTGACCACCTCTCCTCTCTTCCCAGCTGCTTCTGCTGTTCCTAAAGTCATGATCTGGGAAAGGCTGCTAGGGCTGGAAGGTGGGGTAAGGCAGGTGGAAAAAGCCATTGTCTGATGGCCAGCACAAAGTCTCTCCCCCCTCACCTTCATGAAATGGCTCATTTAGTAAGACTGCTCATGTCTGTGTCAGCTTCCTAGTTGCTGGACTGCCACTCAGTCCAGTGCAGAGCCAAGTGTTGCCCACTCTAGTGAGAAACTGACTGCCACCTTATACCAGATCATCCCTCTGCCAATGCAGAGCCACTACCAACCTAGTCATGCCTGAAAATCTCCATGCAGACAAGGAAACATCCCCTTCACAAAGGAAAGCAATTCTGCACAGAGTCAAGACCATTGTTCCCTTCAGTCCTTAAAACAACAACAAAAAAACCATGAGTGGTGGGGACAAAGCACCAAAGGTCTAAACTCTAAAGGATGTAGCCCTCAGCTGCCATCTTTTTCTTCTGGCATAAGCTCTGAGCTTTCCACCACAACACAGTACACAAATTAAGTAAATATATCAAAACCACTCCTTGAAAAAGCTGCTCCAGTTGTCTTTCTGCCTGTCAGGTAGGCAGCTCTTAAAAGGCCAAGAGTTTGCCGGCAAAAAAAGAGCCTGAATACATTTGGCTTGAAAGTCAAATGAACTTAAGTTCCCGTGCTTTTAATTGTTTTCAATGAAGCATTAAGGCAGAGATGGGGAGCCTGAGGTGCCTCATTTTGCCAGCTTTGGGAAGGCAGCTTGAGGGCAAGTGGGGGGGAGGAGGTCACATTTTGGCCTTGCTCCAGCCCAACCCCAAAAGAGTGAAAAGGCAATGTGCGGCCCACAATTTCTCTGGCAAAATATTATTGCGGCCTACTTGGTATTAACAGTTTGGCTGCCCTAAGCTGGAGAGCTACTGGTTCCCCATCTCTACATTTATGCTCCCCCCCAAAAAAAATCCTGAGCTGCATTCCCCCCCCCTTTAAGATGGCAGCCCTAGGAAGACGGTGGCCATTTTTAGTTTTCTGCCCAACTTAAAGACTGTAAGAGCCCACCTTCTGTACAGCTTCTAACTTTCTGTTATTGTTGTTTACACCACATAAGAATAATGATAATGATAATAACGTATTACCAGTGCTATTTTTCCGGGAAAAGAGGTGCTGGAGCTCCCCATGAACGCCTCCCTTGCTCTCTCATAACGGTAATGGCTCCCACCTGGGAGATGCAGGAACTGAGTTCTAGCAAGTTCCGGCTTAAAAAAAAAAAGTCCTGTGTACTGTATTACTATTACATTACATTATCAGCACCTGCTGTCATTCCCACCCATTTCTACCCTACACTAAGGGGGCGAGCGAGGCGCAAAGGCGCTTGTTTTAGTAATGGGCAACCGGCTTCCTCGGGTGTCTTTGCCACTGTGTTTGTTTTTGCCCCATTTCACCCTCACAAAACCAACCTGCGGCAGTAGATGAGAGGACTCTCTTTCCTTGGAGGTTTATAAGCGGGGGGGGGGGGGTGCACCTGTCGTGGATTACTTTAGCCGAGATTCCTTTGTTGCTCGGGGTTGGACTAGATGACCCTCGGGGGTCCCTTCTACATCTGCAACCATAGGATTTTTGCCAAAGGCCACCAATACCTTCGAAAGCGCCCGAGGAGGAATTTGAGCGCCTGGACAGGGCCGTCGCTTTAAAGGTTTTCAGTACAGTAAAGCAAAAACACGTATTTGAAGTGAGGGAGGAGGAGGAGAAGTAGCAGTGAAGAAAAGGAAAGGGGGAGAGAGAAAGAGAGAGAGAGAGAGAGAGAGAGAGAGAGAGAGAGAGAGAGAGAGAAGGAGGAAGAAGAGGAAAAGGAGAAGCGGGCTTCCCACCCTGGCGAAGCGCTCAATCAGCCACGAGGAATGAAGCGCCGTTGCCCCCGCCTTTCACGCAGCCGCGCTCCCTGTGCATCCCTCTTCCGCCTCTGGGGGCGCTGCGGAGGCGGAGGAAGCGCTTAAAAAGGGCCCGAGCCCGCCGGATGGCTGTTCAGTTCCGGGCGCTTTTACGCACAGAGACGCACGCGCGCCTGCCTGCCTTTTGAGTGACCGCGCCGAAGTTTGGCTCCGTTTCCAGCCACCGCAAGAGGACTGCTGCTTGGTGCCGCCTGCCCGTCCCTCCGTCCTTCCTTTCCTTCCTCCGCGCCGGCAAGCCGCCGCGATGTTGGCGCTCAGCTCTGCCCGCCGCCTGATGCTGCTCCTGGGGCAGCCTCAGCAGTGCCGGGCCGCCGCTGCCTCCGGGGAGCTGCTGCTGCTGCAGGTCTCTTCCGAGGGCGCCCTGAGCCGCGCCTGCCGCCGCGCCTGCAGCGACCATAAGCGCGACGACGGCGACAGCGACGGCAACCCGCTGGTCTACCTGGACGTAGGAGCGGACAACCAGCCCCTCGGCCGGGTCGTGTTGGAGGTACGCGCCGCTTCCTCTTCCCTGGGCTCCTTAAGCGGGGGGCGCGGGGTTGGCGCCTTCCCGCGTCCCTGAGGTGCCCTTGGAGCGTCTTGGGGGGAGGGCAGCCGAACTTGTTTTATTTATTTATTTATTGCATTTGGAGACCTCCTTTTCTTCCCAGGAGCTCAATGGTTCTCCTCCTCCTCCGATTTCATCCCCACGACAACCCCCTGATGTGGGTTAGGCAGAGACGGTGGCTGGCCCAAGGTCACCCAGTGAACTTAATGGCTGAGTGAGGATTTGAACCCCGGTGCCCCCATATCCAATTCTCTAACCGTTATACTGTCAGGGGCTTAGCTTTGCCTGTATCAGCGTTGCTAACAGACATCGCTGTTGTTGTTTTTTGTTGTGTAAGGGATCCAATGACACTTATCAAAACTCTGCAGCTTGCAAAGGAGTTCTTCTCACTTTGCAAGGAGCAGGCAAGAAAGTCACCACCAGCTGTTGAATTTACAGTCTGCTTGTTACAGTACGGTTATTAAATATTTTTAGGGCTGACGCCCTCTCCCTCCCCATCAGCAAAGCTCTTGCATCTATAAAACAAACAGGGTGAAAGTTCTTTAACCCAGATTGTTTAATTTCTTCAGGAAAAAATGGGGCCCCAAAGCTAGCAACCTAGAGAATACCCATTAAGCTTTTGTACTACTGAAGAGTATAGCCTTGACTATTCGTTGCTTTTTTCAAGGTGCCTTTTTGGGGATGTCTCCTTGAGCCAAGGGCACTTGCTTAGAATAAATCAACCTGCTTTGTTCTAAGCAAATGGACTGTAAACATGATTTAGCAATTAAGGATTTAGTTGATGAAAATATGGGTCCTTCATCCCCTTTTGATGTATTTGTTGATGCCAATACAGTATGTATATTCCAAGATAAAAGTTAACCCAATTCCTCCTCAACAGAGTTCTCCTGGGGGGAGTTTACTTGTTGGAGGCAGAAACTGAGATACTGGAATTTCTCCTGAGAAAAGGGAATTCTGTAACATTTGGCAACTACACAGAACCCTTCTTTGCGTAACCTTTGCTATAAGAGGTTGACACAGCCATAGGATGGCACCTTTTGAATTTGAGATAGTAGGGAACAAACCATGAACTCATATTTGTGTCAAGACAACTTAATCAGGAATTAATTAAGTTCAGGTTCGGGCATGTGCCCTACAAATGTGAAAGATATTTTTATTAGAATTGTGAATTCTTATCTACCGTATTTTTCGCCCTATAGGACACACTTTTTCCCCTCCAAAAATGAAGGGGAAATGTGTGTGCGTCCTATGGGGCGAATGCAGGCTTTCGCTGAAGCCTGGAGAGCGAGAGGGGTTGGTGCGCACCGACCCCTCTCGCTCTCCAGGCTTCGCACAGCTCTCCGCAAGCCGTGGGAGCCCACACGTATTGCTTGGAGACCTCAGGGTGCTTCTCTTTTCAGGATGTATAGCAATGATCCCACAGGTACACCAAAGAGAGATGCTATTTTCCCTCACTGACTTAACTCCACTTATTGTTGACATCACCTGGAGTCTTTGATTTAATACAGTGGTGCCTCGCAAGACGAAATTAATTCGTTCCGCAAGTTTTTTCTTCTTGCGAGTTTTTCGTCTTGCGAAGCACGGTTTCCCATAGGAATGCATTGAAAATCAATCAATGCGTTCCTATGGAAACCGACTTCAGACCAGGTCCGGGGACAGTCTGTCCCCCGACCTCTTCTGAAGGCTGGGGTGGGGGGACAAGGGCTTTTCTTCCCACCCCCAGCATTTTAAAAAACCCCGGGACAGCGGGGGACTTCTCCGCTGTCCGGGGCGATCTTAAAATGCTGGCGGGCGGCAGCGAAGCCTCCGCTGCCGCCCGCCAGCATTTTAAAATCGCCCCGGGACAGCGGAGGACTTCTCCGCTGTCCCGGGGCGATTTAAAAGCCCCCGGGAAGGCAGGCAGGGGGGAGCAAAGACTTTTGCCCCCCGCCGGCCTTCAGAAGAGGTCCTGGACCTCTTCTGAAGGCCGGTGGGGGGCGAAAGTCTTTGCTCCCCCCCCCGCCTGCCTTCAAAAGCCGTCCGGGATAGCGGAGAAACGAAGGCTGGCGGTGGGAGGAGGTCTCTCCGCCCCGCCGCCAGCCTTCGGAGGAGGTCCGAGGACAGTGGGGAAGACGCGCTGTGCTTCCCCGCTGTCCCGGAGATTTCCCTATGGGCTTTCGTCTTGCGAAGGAAGCCCATAGGGAAATTCGTTTTGCGAAGCGCCTCCAAAACGGAAAACCCTTTCGTCTAGCGGGTTTTCCGTCTTGCGAGGCGTTCGTCTTGCAGGGCACCACTGTATTCCAATAGGGATTATTGGACAACAAATCTTACATACACTAGAAACATGGTTGCAATGTTGGCCCTAAAGAAAATGAATAGGGGAAGCAAGTAAGATGTTTTCTTTCGGACCAAATAATCTTCAGAATATTAGGCGCAAACTGCAGGACTTGAGTGTTTGTGGGAAATAGGAGTGAAGTTGATGTTGTACTAGCTAGGGCCATGCTTTTATCTATCCAAGTCCCCACTGATTTTTCAGACAAAGCAACCATTCCTATCTGAGTCAACGTGTTATCAGAAAAGAGGAGCCAAAATGATCAAAGGGATGGAGCAACTCCACTATGAGGAAAGGTTGCGGGATTTGGGATTTTTAAGTTTAGAGAAAAGGCAAGCAAGAGGGGATGTGATCAAAGTGTCTAAAATTATGCATGGAGAGAGTGGCTAGAGAAAAGTTTTTCTCCGTCTGACATTGGAATTCATGGGCATCCAATGTTGGGAGATTCAGGACAGATAAAAGCACATCTTCATGCAGCACATGGGCTGTGGAACTCGTTCTCCCAGAGGTAGTGATGGCCACCAACTTGGATGGTTTTAAAAGATTAGACAAATTAATGGACAAAAGGGCTGTCACTGGCTACTAGCCATGATGGCTGTGCTCTACCTCCACAGTCAAAGGCAGCAAGGTTCCCAAATACCAGCTGCTGGAGGAGAGTTCTCTTGGGCTCATGTTCTGCTCCCCAGTTTCCCACAAGCATCTCTGGTTGACCACTGTGAGAACAGGATGTGGGATTAGACAAGCCTTTGGCCTGGTCCAGCAGGCTCTTCTTACATTGTATGCCCATTATACCTTTTATGATAAGGGTAGTACAAATACTGCGGTCTGGAAATGCTTGCTTGTGATCTGATCACACTAAATTGTTCCAAGGATATTTATGGAGATGATAGGAAAAGACAAATAGGTGCAGCAACTTTTATCCAATTAATAATTTTTTCTGAGATATCCTTGCGATACCCTTTATAATGTCAAGGCTATCTCCAAGCGTGGTTGCACATGACAAGTCAAAATCACTTTCACGTAAACAGGAGCAGAAGCTTTTTGAGAGCCAATTCTTTTTTACTCCATAGTATCTCTGTGCCCCAAATCCGATGTTCACAAATTTAAGGTTTCCAAAAGCACAGACACGTTGGAAATCAGGCATAGGTGTTTAAAAAAATGTTAGTAGGCTACACTTGTAGGTTGCAGGTCTGAGCAGCTCACACTTGAAGTAACTGTCAGTGATCTGATTAAACTCATATGCACATAGAGATGGTATTGTATAAAAATTAGTTCTCCTTTGTTTTTTCCATGTACCTTTCTAGAAGATGATCTTAAATGCTTGCCAAGTCATGCATATGGGAATCTCTTGGGAAGGTTATGTGGGAGAAGCATTCCATTGTAATCTTCCCACAAGCAATTACATGCAGGATCACTTCCAAGAACCATGAGTGTTAAACCCTGTGTCATTAAATTGACCTAATGACACCCTCAGGTGATTGTGAGTAGGCTCACAGACAACATCACATGATGCTAAGCAAGCAGGTCACAGGCAAGGGTGTTCAGAATAAAAAAAGTTATACATTGAGCTAGGGCTGCTTCTTCTGTAATTGCAAGCATCTTTAACAACTCCTTCTCCAGTGCAATCTACAGTACTTAACTGATGAAAGGATATAATGCAGTAAAATTCCATGTTGTGAAATTTCTACGCTGTGCGTGTAGATCTTCACACATGGAGATTTCTTGCCCTTCCTCTTCCTTTTTAGTTTCAAACCAAAACTACTGGGGTTGTTTTTTTTTAATTGTGGGCTGTTTGTAATAGGCTTTCTGAATGTGTCAGAGAATTTGGAAGTTGGTGAATGCTGGTGTAGCTCTGGTTTCTAGTAATTCTGCTGAGCTGACTAATTTTTCATAGAATCGTAGAATTATAAAGTACTTGGTACAGGTTAGATCTTTTTGCTTTTAGCTAATACTGTGGTATTTTTTTGTTTGTTTTTTTAAAAAAGAATGGATTATATATTTTATATTACATTGGATGATGTGTTTTCTCTCTCTCTCCTCCTAATAGCTGAAAGCTGATGTGGTGCCAAAGACTGCAGGTAAGACAATACTTTTGCCAGTTCCTTATTGAATTTTCAGGGTTATGTAATGTTGGTAAGAAAATGAAGGAAAATTGAAATGCTTTTTCCGAAACAAAAATAGTGTCTTAAAGTTACAGTCAACAAGGTGGTTGCAGGGAAGGAGTAGAAAGGAGATAAATTTTTTTCACTTTATTTTCCCTGTTTGTAGCACAGATCCTTTCCAGGTTTGGTTTTGTGTATATACTCCCAACTTTTTGGAATCCTAAAATTATGAGAATTGTTGAGTTAGCAAAGTTCATATTTTACATAAACTTGAGTTTACACTTGAATAGTTCTGTTGATTCTACTCTGCTCCTACCCAATGTTGATCTTTTCATTTCTTGGTTTGTTTGCTTATCCACACTTGCCTTTTGCCCTGCTGTTTCCAGGCACATGTCCTCTCTTAAAAGCTCTGTGTCCAAGCTGCTTTTTTTTTTGTTGTTGTTCTTTTGCCCCAAGCTTTCCCTGCAAAAACCAGCTCTTTTAGCATTCAGTTGGAGCAAATATCAATTCAAGTTTTCCATGGATTACTGTTTGTTCTGATTGAGCTCTAAAGAGAGGGTTTTCATGGGGCAAGCTCTGGAGCAAAAAAGGGTTGCTTGGACATAGAGCTTTAAAGGAACATTATCTGTATGAACATGCACTCACGTCCTTGTTTCATAGAAACTCATGATGTGACCAAGGCTACAATCCTATACTCACTTTTCCTGGGAGTAAACCTCACTGGACTCAATGGGATTTAATTTCTAAGTAGACATGTATAGGATTGTTTTAAATCAAGTTCATGTAGACCTTCCGGTACATGTTTAATTGAGCAGCTGTAATTGTGAGCCCTAGTTTCTCATCATTCTGTGAGTCTGTGTGCCCATCACTTCATTGCTGTTGATTTTTAGCTGTGCAAAAATACATTAAGATGATAAGCTTTCGCAAATATTGGACCAAATCCAGCATCTTTTTATATTGGAATCCTGCACGTGCAAGAGTTTCCTGGAGAGTGCCTGTGTGCTTGCATAATTTTCCCTCTTGCAGAAGACAAAGAATCCCTAAATCATAGCAACTATAAATTTTTTAGAGGCAAGTAAGATGTGGGTAGCGCTGTGGGTAAAAGCCTCAGCGCCTAGGGCTTGCCGATCGAAAGGTCGGCGGTTCGAATCCCCGCGGCGGGGTGCGCTCCCGTTGTTCGGTCCCAGCGCCTGCCAACCTAGCAGTTCGAAAGCACTCCCGGGTGCAAGTAGATAAATAGGGACCGCTTACCAGCGGGAAGGTAAACGGCGTTTCCGTGTGCGGCTCTGGCTTGCCAGAGCAGCGATGTCACGCTGGCCACGTGACCTGGAAGTGTCTCCGGACAGCGCTGGCCCCCGGCCTCTTGAGTGAGATGGGCGCACAACCCTAGAGTCTGTCAAGACTGGCCCGTACGGGCAGGGGTACCTTTACCTTTTAAGAATTTCCAAGAAGGGTAATTGCAGCCCAGCTGTATAGTGCCTATCTATTGGCACTATTGGCAACTATATTTAAGAATAAACAACAATACTGTGATCAAGAGCTTCATGGTATGCCTAAAATATTACCACCAAGTGCACTAGGATTCTGCTGACAACTCATTGTTGTCTGCAGTCCTTCATTCTTCATGGGATGCCTTGGTCCTGACCCTTCTAGAGTTGCCTCAGTGTATGGTGCAGGAAGTGTCTGTGCAACAGGGATGGAACAGGGTGCTGTGGCCATCCTTTTAGGCCTGAGTGCCAAGGTGCAGCATTGCACCCCAAAACCTGTTTTCCCCTCAGGTGGTAAGCCTGTTTCTGAGTTGGGGTCTACAGTTGGGGATTGACATGATGGAATACATATGGAAAACTAGCGCCCTGGAGAGAAGCGTTACCTGGAATAACCTTTTCTCCCTGATTTTCTGTGTACATTCAGACATGTCAGCCTCCCACCACAACCTGAAGCGGTATAGTCCAGACATGAGTTTGCCACCTTTCCTTAGGTTCTCCATTGAAGCTGAAGCTCCGCTGAAGCTTGCGAAATTGCACAGAGTTGATGTCAGCTATTTGCATGCCTAAAATGTCAAGGCCCTTTTGCCCTTACAGATTTCAGGTATGCAAATCTCAGCAACCAGGAGTGGCAGGAGGTGGTTTATAGTAAATGTAGGATTCATTGCACACATCCCTGGTATAATTCCCCCCCCCCAAAAAAAATCTTTCTAAAAATTTGTTCAGAACATTGCATTGAAGCACACTTTATTGGATGGATTGTGTTTTCATTGCTTGTATAGCTGTACAAAGTGTTTTGCCATGGTTGTCAAGCTTCCTTGTTAGTAACAATGCTGCCTTCTCCCCTTTGCAACCCCAGAAAATTTTAGAGCGCTGTGCACTGGAGAAAAGGGCTTCGGATACAAAGGATCCACCTTTCACCGAGTGATTCCTTCTTTCATGTGCCAGGTAATTAAACTGGAGGTTTCTACTAAGCCACTTGAAGTTTTGAAAGAGCAGCTGAGGTGTAATTGGAAGAAATGCAATTTCCAGGAAAAGCCTTTGCTGCAGCACTGGAAAGTTCTTGCATTGTATCCCTGTGTTCAGCAGCAGTAGCAGCTGTCAAGTTGCCATGTAATAATCTTGTGAATTCTCAGAAAGTCGGTATACCTGGGTGGTGGAGCTAGCATCTTACAGAAGGCAAACTGACAGCTTCTGCAAGTGAACTCTTTCAGCCAGCTGTGGAGAGTTGTCTGTCTTAGGAGTTCAGCTCGGTAAGAAGGGATCCACTTTGCATGTTCATGGGTAACCTGGTTGCTAAATCATTCACAGACTACCTGAATCAGGGTCAGGATTTAATATGTAGCAGGGCACGTCCTTTATGGCAATCTGCTGAAAGTCAGTCCCAGCAGACATGCGAATCAAAATAAAAGGGAGGTGGAAAATGGGCTGAGAGTTGCTTTGTCAACCACTGGCTAAACTAGGACTTGAAGGAAAATCACTGCTCAAAGTGCTGTCCTCCAGCCACCAGGCACAATCAAATAAGAGAGAGAGACGGAGCATCAGTAACAGGCATGACACCTTCATTTCCCACGGAATGAAATGAATTACTTCCTTTTGTTTTCTGTCGTGTCCTTTCTCCAAGGACCTCTGGGTGGTGGAGCAAATAGCAGTGAATTTCACTATGGTGAAGAGGGGATTTTAAAAGCTTCAATTTACAGTGAAGTCTGGAAGCTGCGATTGGTGTAGTTAAAATTAAGTTAAATGAAGAGATAGGCAGATCCCAATATTTCCCTTTCCTGTGTTTACCTCCACGATTTCTATACTCACTGGAACCTCCACAAGCAGTTCAAGCAATGTTTGGGGATACAGTGCTGTTTGTTAACTGCATCTCTGGTGCAGTGTTTTCTGCCAATATGTGGCATTTCAAATGCAGGAAACAGGTATATTAGAGTATTATTTCAACACTGCATCTGAAAAGACTTACCGTATTTTTCGCCCTATAGGACACACTTTTCCCCCTCCAAAAATGAAGGGGAAATGTGTGTGCATCCTATGGGGCGAATGCAGGCTTTCCCGGGCTTCCTGCAGCTCTGCGCCACCCTCCGGATCCCGGCGCGAAGCCGCGCGGGGCTCCGCAGGGTAGCACAGAGCTGCCTGCGCTCCAGGGCTTCCTGCAGCTCTGCGCCACCCTCCGGATCCCAGTGCGTCCTATGGGGCGAAAAATACGGTATACATCTAGAAAGTTGGTACTGTGGATGTTTAGAAAATTGTTTAATATGAATAAATAACAGGCCAGTTTGCCTTATGAAAACAATCCTAGTCTGCTTTACCTCTGCTAAAACAAATGGCTGTCTCACTAAAGGGACCATTTGTTAGGAAAAGGGCTGACTGTTTGTGTGGAATTGTAATGAGCTTTGGTAGGAGAAAAACCAGCAAGTATATCTTTTGTTCTTGATCTCTGACATCATAATCTTCATTAGTGTTTGCATTAATAGAATAAATATTTGAAAGAGAAATATCACAGGTGTCTTTTAACTACACCAAACCTGGAAAGAGTATACATTTTTGTTGTATAATTGCAGTTAAATTGGCTGAGTCAGCAAGCTGTTTACCTTGAAGCATGTGTGAGGTGGCAGTTCCTTCTAATTTGGATGTAGATGTGTCCCAAATTTCTGTAAATAAGGCACAAAGGATTTTAGTTACACCCAGAATGGTGGAAAACCTGTGAACGTCCAAATCTTCTTGGACCTTCCATCAGCCTCAGTCAGCATGGCCAATGGTTAGGGATGATAGGGGTTGCGGTTCAACAACAGAAGGAGGCACCAGTTTCCCCACTATGTATCCTAAATTTAAAGAAAGGAGACAAAGGTAAATCTGAGTATCTTCTTTGCTGTGCCCTAGAGAATTGTGGTTTTCCCTATTGCACATAGTGGGTGCATTTCAACTATGTATGTAGCCAAATGGCTTTGAATGCATTTGAGATGAAAGCCCTTAAAATAATTACATCTTGAGTAACTGGGCTTCAGATTCTTGGAAACAAAACAATCTGCAAAGAAGCAAGACTGTGTTCCTGTTCTACTCAAGCCTTAAACCTTTCTCCCCTTCTTCTTCTTTTGGAATAATGTTGCCTTCTTCCACAGCTGCGTACTTTTTCTTCCTCATCTAAGGCAGCATAGGACTGACAGTGGTGCCTGGTTAGGGTTAGGGACAAATATCTAAGCTGTTTAATGATGGGCTGCAACCAAAGTGTTTATTTTCCTTGTTTGCAGGACGTGATGTCGAAGGGAAAGAGTAGTTCTTACATGCAAATTGTCTTCCTTCATAGTGTTGAAATAAGGAATATTTGTCAGTAGGTGCTTGTGTCACAGTATCTATGACAAGCTTCTTCCTAACTCCTGCCTCTTATCTCCCTCCCACAGATTCTTAAGAGTAATATTTTGAGTTTATGATATAAAGTTCTCCAAGCAGGCACCTGATCTTAAGCCTCTCTTAAGATTGTGGCATTCATCTTCTAAACTCGTAGTATGAATGCCTGTCATTTCATAACTAAAATGTGAAGTCACCGTGACGTAGCTAATTGGCAAAATTAGAGGTACTGAACCTTGACAATTTAAATGCTCCTAAATTATAGGGTGTGCTTTCACACTTGTTCAGGTATAACCAAGGTATTGATGTAATTATGTCTCAGTTCCTTCCAAGTATAACCCACTGTTAATCATCTTAGGAACCTTTTTTCCTCTAAATGAAAGTGTACTAGTTTTTCACTGGGGCATGATGGCAGCGACCCTGTGACAACAAACCAAGCATGCAATTTTTCAGTAGCAGTTTTTGATCTTTCCTGGGGTGCAAAGTTGTTGCTGCGTGATGCTCCAAAGTCCTTGTAGGTGCATTAATCTAGGCCAGCATTTCCCAACCTGTTGCTTTTCGGGTGATGTTAGAGTACAGTTCCCATCACCCCCCAACCAGCTTGGCCAGTGGTCAGGAATGATGACAGCTAGGGCTGTGTGATGTTGGATTTTCAACATCACAGTGTATTGCGAGCCAGACGTCACAGTGTGGCAATAAACTGTGATGATGAAAAAAAGCTGCATTGGCCCCAGCTGGCAAGGTGCTGGGTGAAACTGCCACAGCTGAGCTCCATGAGCTCCTGCCCCCTGGGAAGGGCAGGCTTTGCGCTTCCCAACTGAGCAGCCGCGATCCTGCTCCTCTCCTGCAAGCAGGAGCAGGGTTCGGGGCTCTTTTAGCTGGGGGGGAGCACTTTTAACAGCGCCCCCATCCCACCGCTGCCTCTTCCTGTTGGAGCAGGTGGGAGGCAAAGGGTAGAGGTTTGCTTAGTGCATGCAGAGGCAAACTCGGCCCTCCAGATGTTTTGGGACTACAATTCCCATCATGCCTTTTTAACAGGACCAGTGGTCAGGGATGATGGGAGTTGTAGTCCCAAAACATCTGCCTATGCCTGGCTTAGTGGGTCCAAGGCTGAAGTGAGATTTGAAGTGTGAATTCACCTCATTCGTAGGTCATTCTCCTAACCACCCTGCGGAGCTAGCAACTCTGATGTTTAAAACCACTTTAAATACAGTATTTTGTATTGTATGTACTATCTGGCCATAAGTTAGCCAGCTAGAACAGGCATATGTTGTTATGTGTATGTACTTTGACAAAACTTGTATCCCTTCCAGGGTGGCGACTTTACAAATCACAACGGAACAGGTGGCAAATCAATATACGGTAGTCGGTTTCCTGATGAAAACTTCACCCTTAAACATATCGGACCTGGTAAGCAAAGTTTCTCTTCTCATATTTCTGGTTTTTTGCATATTCCGTTTGCAGAAAGGGATGATGGAGGTAGGGCAGGCCCATGCTTGAATTTCCAAGCCTATGTTGAAGTTGTTGATTGTATGATAAGCTCATGAGCCAAAAGACCAGCTTCTGAGAATGACTAGGGCACTTCTGGGCCTCACGCCAATGTCTGAAGCAGATTATGGAAATCTGATAAAGATTTATTTGCATTGGTATTCTTAAGTCTCAAGTTCTAGGACAGAGCTTTTAAACAAGCATAATTAAAACGCCGTATTATAGCCAGGTAGTGGTAATTTGAAACTGTTGTCACTTATTAGTTGTGTTGAAATTGACAGCCACGATTTCCTGAAAGCTCAAAACTGCATGAGTTTGTTCCTCTTGTTCAATAGCAAAAGAAAGAGATAGCACAGGGCAATATTCATATGCTCCCTTCATCCTCAGAATTACCCCATCAAAAAGTAGTAGTTAAGTTGCAGTTCTGTCTGATAGGCTATTTTGTCTTGGATATGCTATTCATCCTTTTAACATCTACATTGTTTAATTAGAGTAGGCTATGTGTGTGGTGTTGCCATTTGCCAAGCTGAGCTTAGGATTTGTTTGTCAAAAAGCAATAGAGTCAGCCGGTTTATAGACAAGTGGGAAGAGGTAACCTTGGATTCCTGGCAAAGGGGATAGAATTAATTGGTCCCTCTTGCGGAAATTCTCTCATAAACCAGAGCCAGCGTCTGATTCCTTCAGTACAATATCAGATCTTTTTACTGCATGCTTACAATGGCATGTTTTGTGAACTCTCAGTGGAATAGCATTCTCTTGTTGCAGGACCTAAAACAAAGAGGAGGCTTCATGCAGAAACTCCTTGAATGGCCTGTTAGGTTTTTTTGTTCTGTGTTCTTGTACAGTGAAGTTACAGTGCTGTCTTGATGTTGTTGCAGGTGTTCTCTCAATGGCCAACGCTGGACCCAACACCAACGGATCTCAGTTCTTCATTTGCACAGCTAAAACTGATTGGTAAGCATTCTCAAACACACATGTGGAAGGGCTTGTTTTTGTAACTAGGCTTTCTCAAAGCTTGGCAAATCGCACATGTTTGTGTTCCTTGCTAAGGAGCATGATGGAAGCAAATGGAATTGTATAGGATGTGAAAATGCCCTTTAGGAGCTTTATACATTTTAATAAGCAGTTAAGCCATTGCTTTAGAGGGAAGTGAGAGGCAGATGAGGATCATCAACCTGGGAAGGTAGCCTGTCTAGGAGAAGGAAAACTCTGATCCTAAACCTCCTCTGCCTTGTGGGATATCTTTGGGAGAAGAAAAGGCTAAGTAGCAAATCCTACATAAATCCAGAGTGGAGTCCCTAAGACAGTTGAATGGTGCCTTGTACGCTTCCTTCTGGCAACTTCTGCAGCCAAGCTGGTGCCAAATGTATTGCTCTGCTTTCCTTTGAACCACATCGGTGAGGCCAAGAGGGGGTTCTTGTTGTCTGGGCAGCCCAGGACCTCCAGACACACTGCCCAGGCTTGTGCCCCAGGAAAGGACACTGCTATTGCAGTGGTTGGACTTCACTCCCAGCAACACACTCAATTTCTCGATACAGACTGATGCCAACAACAACAAAAGCTGTTGCACTGGCTCCGGCTAATTTCCATTTAGAAGTGAGCTGTGCTCCTCCTCAAGTGCTTCCTGTAAGCTCTGGTTTTAAATTAGAATACCTTAAACCAGTGTTTCCCAACCTTGGCCCTCCAGCTGTTTTTGGACTACAACTCCCATCATCCCTAGCTAGCAAGACCAGTGGTCAGGGATGATGGAGACTGTAGTCTGAAAACAGCTGGAGACCCAAGGTTGGGAAACACTGCCTTAAACAGTAGAACTCTTCTGTTAATTGTGAATAATGGTCCCATTCAGAATGAGGGTGATGCCATGTTATGCAAAAGCAGATGAGGGGAAAAACCAGTATAAAGGCTACAAAGGAGACATGTGGGTTAGAAAACATTCACCCAACCCCTAGAAAGCTCCATTTCTGCCTATAAACGTTTTGGTGCACCTGTAATAGGAATAGCAAATATGTACTTATATACATCTTGTATACATACAATATACCATATTGAGAAGAGTCAGATAAGTACAAGCCTCAACACTGTTATTTAATTCTGCCAACGAGTAGATAGCATTGCTGTCTCCCATACGTAACTTTCCTACATGCTTAATGCATATTTGGAGGAAAACAGGCAGAGCACTGCATCATGTTTTCCTGCCTGCTAGTCAAACACTTAATGAGCACAAAGTCACTCCCATTGTCACATGTGGTGAATCAACGCAATATGCAAGTCAGAGTGCTAGAGGGCTAGAGTGACTTTGACTAACACATCCCATAATGAGTATATAAGAATGAAAATGCCTTGAGTTGCTTGCTGGCGTTTGGTAGCTTTAGCACATGTCAGGTTCTGAGCCTTAACTGTTTGGTTGATTAGGATAAACACTAGATTTGGGATTTGACAGGAGACCTCTGGTATTTTACCTGCTCTCCTAAGGGCCGGGTCAAATAACTTTGCACTGAATATGCAGACTTTAAATCATGCCTCACACTATCCATCAGCCTGTGTCAGTGCAAAAAAATGTTTGTGTAGAAGCCCAGTGCCCTCTTCTCACGGTCCAGTTCTCACAGGACATTCTAGAGTTAAATCTACCTTGTCCAAGGTTCTGTGATGCTCCAGCCTATCCACTCGCACTTTAAATTTAGTTTTGAAATAGTACATCTCTCCAAAGAAATGTATTCAGGGGGAAAAGCATGTCTTTCCTACCCCACCCAATTTTAAGCCTTTGAGAGTGTCTGGGTATCTTTTAGTCTGAGAAAAGTCTTGCACCACCACCCCAGAAAGAAGTAGAGTAGAGCTTCGCAAAGATTGTTGGATCGGAAGCTGAGATAGAACCCATTTGGACTACACTGAACTCCGAACTATTGAACCATCTGAGTGCTGTACCAGTAGGGTTGAACTGCAGGTTGTCCACACATCCATCTGCTCAGAAATGCCATATTTAGGCACAAGAGCCCTCACAGAAGCATAGCGGTGGTCATATCTGTCAGTTTTTATGCCACATCAAAACAGTGTCAAAAACACTTCAAGCTTATGGTTTGTAATTCTAGCTTGCTTAGATCAGGGTTTCCCAAACTTGGGTCTCCAGCTGTTTTTGGACTACATTTCCCATCATCCCTGATCACTGGTCCTGCTAGCTAGGGATGATGGGAGTTGTAGTCCAAAAACAGCTGGAGACCCAAGTTTGGGAATCCCTGGATTAGATGTTAACAGCAGTGGCTTCTCAATGCTAAGCTGATTGCTAAGCTTCCTCCTGGTTTGGTGTGATTTTTTTTTTAAGTGTTTCTGGCATGGAATAAAACCTTTTCAGTAAGAAGAAAATATACCGTGTTTCAAGTCAGCTCATTCTAGATTCCTTCCCATTCATACTGCTATTTTCTTTTGCCGTTGCACATTATTCCTGTTTGTATTGCAGGCTGGATGGGAAGCATGTTGTGTTTGGCCACGTGAAGGAAGGGATGGAGATTGTGAAAAAAATCGAGAGCCTTGGCTCCAAAAGCGGGAAGCCTTCAAAGAAGATTGTCATCACTGACTGTGGAGAGCTGAAATAAGTCAAGATGTGGGAGCCTCTGGCAAATCGTTGATGCAAAAAAAGGAATCTGCGTGAATTATTACTTGCACATTTCTCATCTGGATAAGACTTTTTACTGATAAGGATACTAACTCCTTGCTGAGCCATGATCAAGGACAATAGAAGTATATGAAGAATTTCAGTTTGGAAAATTCGTTTGATCTCACATGACCATATTCTGTTTTGTTTTTAAATTGTACTACTTTTTATTTAAGTGTTACACTGAAGGTTCTCTTCAGTGCTTTATAATGGAAAATACAAGAACAATGGCTGCTAGCAAAGATCTGCTAAAAATCCTCTGAAGTAGCTCATAATCCGAGCTGGGAATCTTATAAGATTCTTAGTTAGAGTGGGGAGTAACTAAGTTTCTTACAATTTAAAGATTATCCTGTGGTCTGGTTGAACTTGAACGCTCCTATTTCAAATGAATGTATTAATGTATGATCTCCAGCATCTGTGGAACAGCCGTCAGAATATGGGTAGCTAAATGATTAACTGATGTGACTTAGGAGTTCAGCTGATTGATCAAGGTAACTTAATGAACAGTACTCTCTCCCCTCCCCCTACTGAGAAAGGTGCTAAAGATCCATTTTATGCAAGGGTACACCAGTACTTGAAGTACATGGAATCAGTGGATTTCCTACTTATAAATTTCTTCCAGTCTTGGACCATCTAGAACTTTTAACAAAGGGCAGAATTAACTAATAACTACTTTGACTGCTTAGAATGTAACGCTTGTGACATGCTACTGTTATGATTTGAATTTGGAGCATGTTACCAGATCAGCCAGACATTCTGAAAGGAACTAGCCATACCTACATGACATGCAACTGTGAACTTTTTAAATGGAGCATGGGAAGGCCTTTCTTATAATGATTTATTACTGTTATTTAGCCCTTCTCTACTGTGATGGATCCACTGTGATAGCATCTCACTGTGTTCCAAATACAGTAGGTCTGATTTATGTAAGAGCTGGTATTAAATACAATTTTTCTGTGCTTTGACTTAAAACCAGAGTAAGTAGCTGAGAGAGGCTATGCAGATTGATAGAATCACGCAAGGAGGGAAAAGTTGAAGCAGTGGATTATTTTCCCCACTTAACTTGCTTCAGTCTCCACTTGAGTTACAGGATTGGAAGGTTCAGCTGAAGCAAGCTGAATTTAGGAAGAAATACTGAAATGATAAGGAGGCCCTTTGGCCCATATTCTGGATATATCTACACTAACACCATTTTAAATCAGAAGTCTCCCTTACTGCACCATCAAATAATTCTTGATGTTGGATGAGTGTTTCTCATCCCCATCACAGATCCTACAAATTCCTATGGTACCCTGTGGGAAGGGGGGGATGTTAAACAAATTTCTGTGGTGTAGGTATATCCTAAATCACAGGAAAAGTGACCCACATAATTGGTAGCATTGTCGCTTTCTCTCAGGTGTGTTCAAAATTCACTGCAGGCCAGCAGTGATGAACTTTTGATCACAGGTACAGAGCAAGGAAGGATGGCTGAAACATCCTGAGATTCCCTGTGCTTGCACATGACTCTGAAATGGCCTGTTGAAACAAGCTGATAAGTGTGTTCTTGGAGCTGGCTCCTGCTTGTGGATAGCACATGGCTTCTGTTAAGGGGGAAATGAAACAGGGAACCTCGCTTGGCTCTTTTTAACCAGACCTACCTTTTTAATTTTTAAGTACATTATAGTGAATGGCTATTGGGAGCTGAATCTGAGCATTTGGTAAAGTAAATATATAGAATGTGAATACCCTTCTATGATGTGAGTGTTTTTCCCATAGCAGGTAGTATCTCTGCAGGTTGAAAATACTATTTGCACTAGGCTCGTGCATGCAGTGAAAGGTTAATTTAAAAACAAATAGGATACCTCCGGTCAATTGTTCTTGCATTATTTGAGGTATATTTGAAATGCTAGCAATCTAAACTTGTTTGGCTTAGGTCGAGTATCAATAACTGGTATTTTTGTTACATGTTCGTTTTTGTATGTGTAAGGTCATTAAATACCTTTTTGTAAAAAGTGATGGTCAGTTTCTTTTCTAAGTACAAAGGCAAAAATAGCTTGAGAAGAGGTACAAGAGCAGCTGCTTCTACTAGGTTTATTGCCATTGTCCTGCTTTCCAAATACTGGCCACACATTGCAGGTCAGCAGCACAAAGCCCTCATAAGTCTATTTTTGTAGTTGTTGACATCCAAAATCAGGATTGCTGAACCTGTGCCCCCCCCATGTTGTTGGACTATAGCAGGCATCCCCAACCTGTGGCCTTCCAGATGTTTTGGCCTACAACTCCCATGATCCCTAGCTAATAGGACCCGTGGTCAGGGATGATGGGAATTGTAGTCCAAAACATCTGGAGGGCTGAAGGTTGGGAATGCCTGGACTATAGCTTCCATCATCCTGGACCATTAGTCGTGTTGACTGGAGCTGGTGGGAGTTGGTCCAACAAACTGTTAGAGCAGCCTGCCTTAACCTGCGGGTCCCCAGATGCTGTTGAACTACAACTCCCATCACCCCTAGCTAGCAAGGCCAGAGCTCAGGGATGATGGGAGTTGTAGTCCAACAACATCTGGGGATGCACAGGTTGAGAACCGCTGTGTTAGAGGATCACAGGCTAGCCACCCCTATGGCTGTTTCTTCCCTTCGCTTGTTGGAAGATTGCCTGAGTTTCTGTGACGTGCTGCTGTTTCAGAGCCATATGATATAAAAGCACTTATTTGTTTTAGGTGGTGCTGCATTAGCTAGACACACCACCCCTTTGGGAATGTAAATGTCTTTTGATGATCCAAACCTCAAATCTGATTAAACCTGTAATGCTGCCTTCCTGGGTTGGGTGACTGACTATGGGCTCTTAGTCACCCATTCATTTCTATGACAGATTTTATCACCTCTCTCCTGGTTCCTGCTTAAGCAAGTCAGCTGTTGCTCTCAGAGGAAATGGTCTGGGCTGGTTTAGCAAAGTGCTAATTCATGAAGGCATGCTCTGTAGCAGAAGGTTCTTCTCTACCCCCCCCCCAAAAAAAAGTAGGTGATTGTTCATATAAAAAATGAGTTGTGAATATTTTGGAGTTGGGCTTTGAAGAGCCTAGGCCGGGGGTCGGCAACCTGCGGCTCCAGAGCCGCATGCGGCTCTTTAAAGCCTTTGCTGCGGCTCCGGGGCGGTGGCGAGGGGCGGAGGTGACCAGCCTGCCGCCCGGCGGGCGGGGCGCCGTAAAGCAGAGCGCCCCCCTCGCCAGGCAGACATCCGCAGCGTGGGGAGCCTTGCCGGACTTCCCGGCAAGGCTCCCGACGCTGCGGATAGCAGCCTGCTGCCCGGTGGGCGGGGCGCCCTAAAGCAGAGCGCCCCCCTCGCCAGGCAGACATCCGCAGCGTGGGGAGCCTTGCCGGAGGTCCCGGCAAGGCTCCCCACGCTGCGGATAGCAGCCTGCTGCCCGGCGGGCGGGGCGCCCTAAAGCAGAGCGCCCCCCTCGCCAGGCAGACATCCGCAGCGTGGGGAGCCTTGCCGGAGGTCCCGGCAAGGCTTCCCACCCTGCGGATAGCAGCCTGCTGCCCGGCGGGCGGGGCGCCCTAAAGCAGAGCGCCCCCCTTGCCAGGCAGACATCCGCAGCGTGGGGAGCCTTGCCGGACTTCCCGGCAAGGCTCCCCACGCTGCGGATAGCAGCCTGCCGCCCCGCAGGCATCGGCCAGCCCCACAAGCTCGGGGGACAGCAGGGAGGCGAAGCGCCGCCATCCTGCTGTTCCTCGACCTGGTTCAGTTTCCCCGACCTGCTTTTGGGGGGGAAATAAAGGGAAATTTTTTCCCCTTTATTTCCCCCCAAAAAAACTAGGTGCGTCCTATGGGACGGAGCGTCCTATGGGGCGAAAAATACGGTATTTTTATAATGACGAATGCCTCATTATTAATTATTATTTACATCAGGCACTGATTATGATTTATGGTACACTGGGGCCCTGATTAATTTTCTATGGCATTTTGGGGCATTGATTATTGGGCATAGCAAGTCGCGGTCGCGTGGAATTTGTGCTTTGTGACCGTTTGAAGTGGGGTTTTTTTCTTGGGAGGCTGGGCGGCACGAAGAGAGGGATTATTTTTATAATGATGAGGATGACATTGGGCCCTCATTATTAATTATTATTTACATCAGGCACTGATTATGATTTATGGTTCACTGGGGCCCTGGTTAATTTTCTTTGGCATTTTGTGGCATTGATTATGCAGTCGCGGTCGCGTGGAATTCCACGTGGAGTTAGTTGCCTGAAGCCCCTTTTTAGTTGCTTGAAGCCCCTTTTTAAACTTAAGCAGGTGAAAGTTTGGTGAATTGCTGCCAAGGAGTGTGGTGGAGTCTCCTTATTTGGAGGTCTTTAAGCAGAGGCTTGACAACCATATGTCAGGAGTGCTCTGATGGTGTTTCCTGCTTGGCAGGGGGTTGGACTCGATGACCCTTGTGGTCTCTTCCACATATGTATGTGAGCAGGTCTTCTCCAACATGAACTATATTAAAAACAAGCACCGATCACGCCTCACAGATGACAGCTTGCAAGCCTGTGTGAAAATGAAGGTGACGTCTTACAGCCCTGATGTGCAGACACTGAGCACTGAGGTTCAGGAGCAAAAGTCCCATTAACCTGGTTACCTGGTTGTAAATATTTTAATTAGCTATTAATTTGTCCTTTTTTCTTGAGATTGACAGCTGACTGCACGATCCTGTATATATAGCATTAAGGCCAGAAACAATATATGTAGTGTTATATTTGTTTTAAATGTTGCAATGTTTTTGCGGCTCCCAGTTGTTGTTGTTTTTTCGGAAACGGGTCCAAGTGGCTCTTTTTGTCTAAAGGTTGCAGACCCCTGGCCTAGGCCATTACTACAGCTGTGCCAGGCCAAGCAGCTGAGAGCCTGACCACAGGAGTGGATCCATTCCTGACTCATGAAGGTGACCTACATTACTTCGACTATGTAGCATTATGTTTCTAAAGCCCCATCTTTAGAAATGGACAAGTTAACTAGCTTGGATAAAAGTAAGGATTTGGTATGTTGGAATTTTGTGCCATTTTATGTTGGGTTATAGGATGGGAGTTTGTCCTTGCATAATTAAAAAAAATGCTGCCCTTCTCCATTATTTCAGAGACTTTGTTGTTTAGTTCACCCTTACAAATAAGCTAGAGGTTTTGATACAGTGGAGAGGCTAAAGGAGTAGCCAAAGTTTCACCCTGTATTCCTATACAGATTGCAGGTTTTTGTTTAGTCATGTCCGACTCTTCGTTACCCCATGGACCAGAGCACGCCAGGCAGTCCTGTCTTCCACTGCCTCCCGCAGTTTGGTCAAACTCATGCTGGTAACCTCAAAAACGCTATCCAACCATCTCATCCTCTGTCGTCCCCTTCTCCTTGTGCCCTCAATCTTTCCCAACATCAGGGTCTTTTCCAGGGAGTCTTCTCTTCTCATGAGGTGGCCAGAGTATTGGAGCCTCCACTTCAGGATCTGTCCTTCCAGTGAGCACTCGGGGCTGATTTCCTTAAGAATGGATAGGTTTGATCTTCTTGCAGTCCATGGGACTCTCAAGAGTCTCCTCCAGCACCATAATTCGAAAGATTGCAGGTTAGCCTGTCAAAAATGGTATTGATGGTAGCCATCATTAAATATAAAGTCAGGGCAATGGATTATGGCTATTGGTGTGAACTGAGTGGCTTTTTGGAGAGCCAGTGTAGTGTAGTGGTTAAGAGCGGTAGTCTCGTAATCTGGGGAACCGGGTTCACGTCTCCGCTCCTCCACATGCAGCTGCTGGGTGACCTTGGGCCAGTCACACTTCTTTGAAGTCTCTCAGCCCCACTCACCTCAGAGTGTTTGTTGTGGGGGAGGAAGGGAAAGGAGAATGTTAGCCGCTTTGAGACTCCTTAAAGGGAGTGAAAGACGGGATATCAAATCCAAACTCTTCTTCTTCCTCCTCTTCTTCTTCTTCTTCTTCTTCTTCTTCTTCTTCTTCTTCAGATGGATGGAAAGGAAGCACAATAACCTCTCTCATTTCACATCACTGCCCCCCACCAAGTTTGCTACTCCTGCTCAGAAAGAGCCCAGAGCTACAGATTCTGCTGCTGGGTGAACAGACCAAAACACCAGCTGCTACCAGGCCCTTGTTGCCAGGTAGCACACTGCCAAGAGGGTGTTTTCATCTCCATAGACAACCTGGAACCTTCCACAGACCTGCAATTAGGACAGAAGAACCGGCTCCTTATTTGTCAATGGGGGCGGGGCGGAACCTAACCCGTTGGGTCCTTTGCATGGTTATTCAAAAGTCCCATGGAGTTCAGTCCCACATAGTATGCATGGGGTTGCAGACTCAGTCAGAGGGTGTGCCAAAGTGTTTAGAATTATGTGCATTTCGAACAATGATTTCAAGGAGTGATCAACCTACATGATGTTCAGCATCCTCAGCCTGAATTCCTATTAAAGCCTTTAACCTGCAGGTGTTGGACCACAGCTGCCAACATCCGTTATCCCTGGCCATTCTGGCGGTGGCTGATGGGAGTAGGGGTCCAACATCTGGAGGCACCAGGTTAACCATCTCTGCTGTACTGAAATGGGCAGAAAGATACTGCCCATCCTAGGCTATTTACATGTTGGCAGCTTAAAAGGCTGCCAGGTTGTTTTCTCCTGCACTGTCACAACTCACATTTGCATGTTGCTGTCCACACCAGAGCAAGGGTGGGGATAGCTTCACCTGATGTACATTGCCTGTTTGGCTTCCCCATCAGACTTCTCCTGTTCATTAAGTTATTATCTGCACATGTGCAATGACTTTCCAACGTGCACACCTCAGCTTAATTGCAAAGGGAATGTGGCTTATGTTTTCAGATTGGATGGAAAAGGACGCATTTTTCCTTGAACATGCACAACAGCAGTATTAGGAAATTACCGGATAGATAAGGGTTGTGGCTAATGTCATGTGCAGACTGCTTCAAACTCTCTGTTAGTGCGCCAGAGCAATTGGTAATGTGTACACAGCCCAAGGCTCCTTATATCAGCA